TTTTTCATATTATAGTCAGTGGTAACTGGTATTAGATAAAATAATCTTATTGATAATCTCATATTAATAAAAATAATAATGATATGATGTTGATGTTATTGCCGTCATTTTCACCGTTTCATAGAAAAAATATTATTAACTTTACTATTATTAACTTTACTGGGCAGATGGCACCACTTTAATTTCATCACACCCTCATCATATTTCTCTAACCCGATAACTTTCTCAATTTTTTCATCCGTAAGAACCTTCTCCTGGCAATTACGACCCAAACAAAAAAAGAGTGAGCGAAATCGGTTCAGCCGTTCTCAACTGATAAATTGTTATACATTTTTGTCTCCATTTTTATATACGTAGATTATATTTTTATTTTTATCTGCTAGAGGGCGCCACCGGTGTAACTCAGTTTTTGTCTCTAAATCTCTAACTCACAGGAGTTAGGTCCATAATTTATGCTATAAACCCGCTCCCCGACATTTTCTATCATTTAAAAAAAATTTGAGCCAAATCGGCTGTTCTCAACTGATGCAATTTCGAATTTTTTGTCATAAAGTCATATCTTCTATATTATTCTATGTACGAATGACAATAACGTTAGTGAGCAGTGAGCGCTGTACAGTCTCAAACACATCATATAAATTTGTAATTTGTATTTCATATTTTATTTTTTAAATTTTAATTTTTCGTAATTATGGAGTTTATGTTTAGTGAAAAGGGAACTAAGTTGTTGATTATTGACAATTACAAGTTTGGATTTCAAAAGAACCTAGCAGATAACATACAGAGGTGGATATGTACAAAACGAAAATGTAAAGCATACGTTAAGTTGAACGGAGATTGTTTATGTGAAGAAGTATTAACACATAACCACGAAAGAGAAGGCGATGGTACACTTGTGCGATTTTAATCAACGATTTAAAATTGTATATATTCCATCTTTTTTTTTATAACACACATTAACGCACATTTTTAACCAAGCCTACTTTTAAGTTGACAGTCCTAAGCCTGTAAAATTGAGAAGGAAAATGTGCGTAATTAAACGGGAACCAATTCGGCTTAACTTAATAAAATACCTTTTTCAAACGGGAACCAATTCGGCATGTGGGGTTGGAGCTCGGGAACCAATTCGGTACCAGCCATATATTCCTTTGTCTGAAAAATAGATAAATCAATAAGGATAAATGTCATACGAACTACAACGGAAATCTTATGTACCCTATACCCATTGTATACACATATGTGCAAATGGTACGTATTATATTATTTTGTGTGTTTGAAAATCGAAGACCACAGTAATAGAGTAAGAGGTATTTTAGACCTTTATAAACATATTATAATGGGACATTGCCACATGGGTATTATTTTTGTCGTCACGTCTGCAGTTTGCAGTGACATCTTGCAGACGGTACTATTGTTAACATTCTGCATTCAGTATAGTTAACAATGGATATTACCTGTATGAAAAATATCCATAATGGATTTAATATATTTATATATATAATTTTATTTAGCTTGYGTCATTTTTTATTTTTTCAATTGACACATTATTACTTTTATTACACACCCATAAAGACGCGACGATAGGTAGATATTAACTTTCAATATTTATAGAATATATGGC